CCTCCCTCTCCTTCCTTCCTTCTCTTCCATCTATCCTTCCTTTCCTCCCTTGCTTCTTTCCTTCTCTCTCTCTCTCTCTCTCTATCCTTCCTTCCCTTCCTCTCTCCCTTCTTGCTTTCTCCCTCCCTACTTCCTTCTCTTCCATCCATCCTTCCCCATCCATTTCCTCCCTGCCTCCCTCCCTACTTTCTTCCCTTCCACCTATCCTTCTCCACTTTTTCCTTCCTTCCTTCCCCATCCCTCCTTTCTTCCACCCTCTCTTTCTCCCTTCCCTTCCACCTCTTTCCTTCCTTATCCGTCCTCATCCATCTCTTTTCTCGCTCCCTCCCTCCCTCCCTCCAGCACTCTCCTATATTTCCAGAAACAACAATCCTGCAAGGTAAGTTCAGCTGTCAGAGAGGGACTGGCCCCAAATCACCCAACAAGATTTGTTGCTTAATGTGGAACTAGAACTCACCACCTCCTAGTGATGGGCTTGTATTCAGCCAGCTGGCCTTCATGCCTAAGGCGGTGATTGGCTCAAAGCCACCCAGCGGACTTTCACGCCTAAGACTGAACTAGAACTCACCACCTTCATTAAGGGTGTGTTCTAGAGTTTGTTAGTTTCCTGATCTGCTCTACCTCTTGGGCTTGGTGAGGTGTAAATCTTCTACTCATTGTAGTAGGCGTCTGCTAACATATTGCCAGGCGCCACAGAGCACCTTGGAACAACCCCAATTTTGGGGGGTGTCAATATTTTCCCTGGCTTTGGACTGAGATACCCTCCCCATACTGGGGAAGCGAAGTTCTCTTGGGAAGTCAGAAGAAAGACTTCTGCATGGTTCATTCCAGAAACCTCTTGTGGTCTCTAGAACTTTCCACAATTCATGGTCCACCGTGTCTTGAAGAAGACCGTACCTCAAGATGGCCCTCTGTGGAAGCAAAGGGTTGGTCTGCAGGACTTCAACTGTAGCATCGGGCGGGAGAAAGTCCCTCTTTTTCTGGTTCTTCATCCAGCTCTTGTGTCAGGGTTCCAGCGATTGCCCTAATTAAATCATGAGCCTCAAGCCAAGCTTCAAAAGAATTCAGCAGATTTATTAGGAGCAGCACGCCGGCATTCTCCTAAATGAAGCCAACTCTGGCCTACGTAATTGACAGTCACCTGTGGCCCAGTTTCCCCCTCTCCCCCCAGGTGTGTCATAAATCAGATTCTCCAACGAAGGGTTTTCATGGGCAGAAGATCTGGTAGCCTAGGCTACACTCTTTGTAAGATAAGGGCGGTTCTGGCTTTAAACTGCCGTACTGCTCCTTCAGATTCCCCCACCTTGTTTATGGCAACTCGAAAACAGGCATAGGAAAGTTTTATGAGTTGAAAGCTTGGCCTTTAGGACCTCAACTCTAGCATTGGGTGGGCCAAGGTCCTTCCTTCTCCTGGTTCTTCAACCAGTTCTTGGGTTGACCCCGTGGCTTCAAGCCCAGCCTAGTTTTTGGAGGGTTGTGTCAGGATTCCGGCGATTGCCCTAATTAAATCATGAGCCTCGAGCCGAGCTTCAAAAAATAATTCAAAACATTTATGAGGAGCAACATGCCGGCCTGAACCTAAATGAAGCCAACTCCTGGTTCCTCAACCTCCTGAGCTTTCTTCCGTGGCTTTTGAGGGTGGGTGCGAGTTCCTCTTTGTGGTGTGGTTGCGAGCCAGTCAACGTGGTGTCAACAGGTTGTGTGAGGTCTTCTACTTTGCCCCCAGGCCATGTCCAAACTGGGTCTGCGGCAGATCCATGGCGTGAACAGGGTAACCATCCGCAAATCCAATAATACCTTGTTTGTCATCACCAAGCCGGATGTCTTCAAAAGTCCGACTTCTGACAACTACATTGTCTTTGGGGAAGTCAAGGTGAGCTACGAGGGTGGACGAGGATCTGGGGTCTTGGGAGGGTGTGGGGGGGAGAAGTCCGTTGGTGAGTGAAGAGGGAGGAAGAGGAAGGAGGGAGGAAAGAAAGATAGGAAAAGGGTGGATGGACGGAAGGAAGGAAGGAGAAAGGAAAATAGGAAAGAAGGGAATCAGGAAGAGATAGGAAGAAAGGGAAAAGGATGGAAGGAAGGAAGTAGAAAGGAATGTAGGAACGAAAAGAAGAAGGAAGGAGAGGTAGGAGAAGGACAGAAGGAAGGAGAGAGGAGAGAAGGGAAGAAGGAAAAAGGGAAGGAGGAAGGAACAAAAGGAGATAGGGATCTTGAGGGGAGGAAAAGGGTGGAAGGAAGGAAGATAAAGGAAAGAAGAGAAAAAGGGATAAAGGGAGGAGAGATAGGAGAAAGAAGGAAGGAAGGAGAGCCCGGGGAGGGTGAAAATGGCCGTCACGTGACCGATTGCTCAATTTTTTTGAAGCCCCACCCCTGGATTTAGGGAAGTGGACTAATTCCTGGTTGAAGGACCTGGCTTCTTGGTAGAACATGGCCAAAGGTCTTGACTGATTGGAGAACGTCTCCTTGCGGGGTCTTCTCCTGGAAAACGGGCCAAAGCCAGGTCCTCTTTCTCCTCCAGAACGGAGGCAGATCTTCTCCTGGCAATGGGCTAGATCTGGCTTTGCCCAAGTCTCCTTTTCTCCCTCCCGAAGATCTGAAGGTCCTCCATTGCTTTCTTTTTTCAGATTGAAGACCTCTCCCAAGAGGCCCACAAAGCGACCGTGGAGCACTCGCCCCTGATCACTGAAGCGGCGTCGGCCCTCACCATCAAGGAGGAGAGTGAGGAAGAGGAGGAGGAAGAGGTAAAGGAGGTCAACCTTCTCCAGACGTGAGCGGGAGAGGGTAATAGAAAGGAGGACAGGCCAAGAATGAACGAGAACCTTCAGGCTGTCCTCCTTGGAGGTCCACCTAGGACAAGAGTAGCAACTCATGGCTCTAGAGCCGCATGTGGCTCTTTCATTCCTCTGCTGCTCCTTCCTGTCCCACAATTGATAGGGCTTTTGGTTAGGAAAGAGGATGCCGGGCTAGGAGGAGACTCTATGGTGAGGGAACTGGACTTCCGGTTGGCTCCAGGATTGAACGGGAGGGCTTCCAGTTAGGAACTTTGTGGCTATTTGAGTGTTTTAAGGTTGCCGACTCCTGACCTAGGAGGTCCAAGGGGAGTAGACTTCTTGGGAGGCAGGCCATTAACCCATGGAGCCCAATTCTTGCTCGGAATACCTTGCTTTGAACAAGAATGGTGACTCTTCTCTGGTCGTCTCCATCTTCAGGACCACAAGAGTTGTCCACATTGGATGGCGCCAACCTTGGTGGCACCTCCAACCTCGATGCTGTGGACAGGTGTCTCTCAGATGTGTAGGGACTACACTCCCTAGAAGGACCTAATATTACTCGGGCTGAGAGGGACAGAGGAGGACATTTAGTCCAGGAGACACCATACCATCTATCTTCTGAGCTTCATATTGATGGACCACAAGTCCATCTCAATGAGAAAACCTCTTGGTAGCTTCTCCAGCCAACTCCATGTTCTTCCTGAAGATGGTAAGCTTGGACTTCAGGTTGCAGGGACACCATCAAGTGTTGGTAGAAGTTATCCTGTGGTGGGGTAAGTCTATTGTCTGGAACCTTACTCCATTGTTACTATAATGATTGTTATGGTTTGCTGCAAAGTCAGCCAGATGTTGAGGTGGGATTTGGGATTTGGAACCGCCTCTTGAAGTCCTGCCCAAGGACCTAACATGATGGTCTTTCTTTCTTTCTTTCTTTCTTTCTTTCTTTCTTTCTTTCTTTCTTTCTTTCCTTCCTTCCTTCCTTCCTTCCTTCCTTCCTTCCTTCCTTCCTTCC